AGCAAAGACTTGCTGGAAGAGAGTTTGTAATAAATATTCACATCTGCTGCTTTGGACACTCTAATCCATCCCAGAGATCTTTGCTGTGTCAGGCTTTGTTTGAGATGGAGCAGCCGGGTAGTTATAGAGGTTTGCAAATAGGGCCTATTTATCACGGTTAGTTCTACTTTCTAGTTCCCTTTCTTGCACAATATCCATGACCATGCTAAGCATAACTTGTGATTAAATATTCTCAATGCATTTGTAAGGTGTTTGTAAGACGATGTGTTTCCTGTGATAAACAGGGAAAAGTTGTTTACGTCCCAGGCTGTCAAACGAAGCCATTGGATCTCGATGAGCAGAGTGGAGAACACCATTGCTAGGAATTAGTTTGAATGGAGGGACAATATGTTCCCTGGATAGGCTTTACATCACGTAGGCACACCCAAGGCCCTGTGGCTTGCATATTATCAAAATTTGGACAGATTCCTCCATGCTAAATTCCGTTGGGTGAGATGTTCCCATTGGCTACTTGGTGAAAAATTTCGGATGACTAAAAATAGCAAGATATCTCCTGTTTTTCATAATCCTCCCAAAAACGATGACCTCGGTGCCAGATTAACTTTGTCAGTGTCAATATTAATTATTCCTCTGCTGGCGGTGTCTTTGCATTCATAGAGAGTATCCTGACACACGCAAAGAGCTGTAATCATTTGGAGCATGTAGTGAACTTGCTCCTAATAGAAAAAGGTGTTTGTCAAAGATCGTGACTGGCAGTACAATGATCCCGTTGTTGGGAGGACCATGTTGGCCTTGAAATCAATGTATCGATCCTTTTCTTTTTTTTGTACATGAAACTCACGATTATTATTATTATAGTAAAATTAGTTTATTATTATTAATTTAGTTTATTGTTACTAGCTTATTATAGTTAATTTCTAAGGGGCGGGAGTCTTTATCTGGTGGCTGGATAAGTAAAAGGTGCTTCAAACATATCACTTACCAGCTGTTACCTCTGCTTTTATGTAAGCAGGAAGATAATAACCTTATAAACACATTCTGCCGCCTTGAGAATGATGAAAACTCAGTTTGTTTGGTTTGCAAATAAACACGTGGAAACTGGGAACTCCTTACGACCTTTTTGAGGTTTTAGTTTTTCTACTGTTAGACCCAATTCTATACTAATAATTTCATTACGGTTGTTTTTTCCATAAGGATCTAAGGGAGCAAGGCACTTGGATCAGTTAGATGCCTGACCTCCTTGAAATTCAGTTGAAAACCCGCACCTTTGTTTCTTACAGAGCCGTACAACAAAAGCAGTGTTAAGAGCATGGTTTGACACTGATACCTCTGGGTACCAGAACAGCATCTGCTTGGCCTTGCTCAGTCCCGCGGGTCATGATCCGGCCCTGAACACACGCAGAATAGCTGTGCCCCTAATGAGCAGCATGCCGGGGTCTCCAGATTTGCTTAATCACTCTGAAATCCAATCTTGTTATCATGGGTCTGTCCAACTTTCCGACAATCTGTCACAGAAACCAGGAGCGTGCATAGGTGTCTTCCAAGCGACGCTCTCCAAACTCCCGGCGCCTTCGCAAACCTCAGTGACCTCCCTCTGAATTTCAGGTCGTGCCGTGGCTGTGGTGAGTGGTGATGGGTCCGTTCGGGTTCCGCGACAGGAGCGCGGGCAGCTCTCGGGCCTGAGGGCCCACGGCGGCCAAGCGGACGGCGTCCTCCGCCAT